AAGTTAGACCCGTAACAGACCTCCCCCACTTAAGTTCGTCGACGCCCTCGTCGACATGGGGAAAATCCGCAAGCATGCCTCGAACCTTGCAATCTGCCTCGTGAATGGGACTAACTCAACGTTCCGTACCCAGGTTGCCTTAGCTCTCGGCTCACCTATCCAATGGACAAAGTAAAAAGTCCGTCTTTTACTTCCTTGTCCTCGGGTCTTTCGGTCCAAAATCTTATGAACCCGTCTCGTTAGTTCACCTTTGCCCACATGCATCTCACGATCAGACTTACTACAGCAAGTATCCGGACCCTCCGAATAGTTCTTAGTTGCTGCAACAAGGTACAGAACTTTAGCCTGCCCCAGGTCTTGCTCAACTCGCATAGTCGAAACCCGCAAAGCATCTTTCTTTTTCGGCAACGCCCACTGAATATCATGGAAAACTTCCTTTCCATCCAACACATACACCATCTTGCTCAAGTGCGGCATCACATTAGCTTTCGCTTCTTTAAGATAATCCATGCCTAGAATTAATTCAAAGTCATCAAGAGGCAACACATGCACCTTGCACGTACCTTTCCACGGTCCAATGACCATGTCCACTTCAGCCACCCCCTTGATTGGTGTTGTGCGCGTAACAAACTTCATCCTCAATCCGTCACTTGGCTCAAGTTTAAGGCTTAGCCGCGAGGCCATCGTCTCGTTCATGAAGGAATGGGATGCACTCGAATCCACCATTGCCATGATTTGCTTATCCTTCACAGCAGCCTTCACGAACATTAAACCCGAACATGATTCGTCTTGGACACTTACGTTGTTCAATAGCACCAACGATTTCAGGCCAATCGTGCCTTCCTCGTCGCATGCATCGCCTTTCACCACTAAGGCATTAGCTTTGGCCTTCAATCGCTTGGGACAATCCTTCATTAAGTGGTCGCCATCACACAAGAAACAGCCACGACTTCGGTCCACCGTTTGTTTGGACGTATCACGGCGCGTACCACTACTCCTCTCTCCGGACTTCTCTCGGTGCTTTCCACCTTTGAACTTCTTTGACTTCCCATCCTTCTTCGTCGAGTCTTTCACATGTTCACTCGAGTCAGAGGCACCAATCACCTTGAAATCTACAAGGCGCTCGGCAGCAGCCATTGCCGTAGGCAGATCACTAACCCTTTGCCGCTGCAACTCGGCTTGGGCCCATCCTTGTAATCCTGCCATAAAGTTGAACAACTTGTCCCGCTCCGACATCTCACTAATGTCAAGCATCAAGGAACTGAAAACCTTGACATATTCACGAACCGCACCCTCTTGCTTCAGGTTTCTTAAAGCTTCCCTCGCAACCCAATCTGTGTTGCAAGGTAAAAACTGATCCCTCAACTCTCGCTTCATAACATCCCACGTTTTGATCCCTTCCCAATTCGCACTAATGTCATCAGACGCTCGCGCACGCCACCAGAGCTTTGCGTCCCCCGACAAGAACATGCTCGCTATAGACACTTTCTCGTCGTCCAGGACTCTGGCTGCATGGAAATACGCCTCCATGTCCCAAAGGAAATTCTCAACATCCTTGGCATCTCGGGTACCATCAAACGTCTTAGGATCTGGAATTCGGACTTTCGATGGGAATTGGTGCTGCTCCTCGAGCACACTCGCGCCCACCCTCTTCAGTAGGGCCACGTCATCCATGATCTTCTTGACCTTGGACTCAACCGCTTCTGACAGCAACATGAATTCATCTCGTGTGGAATCCATCCGCCCTTCAACAAATTCAGGCAGCGACTCCACCGAGTTCACCATAGCGTCCACCTTCTTGCTTAAGTCAGCGAGCGCATCGTCAGTTGTTTGTAATCGCTCGAAGACCGCTGCATAGAGAGGTGTTTGAGGCGGTCGCCCCATCATGTCCTCCAGCCTTTGTATCCTCGCCGTAAGGGTTAACAAGAGTTGATCGGGTCGATTTGAATCGCCCATTTTTCCAACGAACAGCAATCAGAACCCAATGTGGGCTCTTATACCACTTGTCACAGGGTCTTGCTAGAGGCTAAAATTTTTTGCTCCTTAGCACCCTATGCGGCCTGATTCCCCTCGAACCAGTCAGCCTTTCACCGTCCCTCGATCGTTCGCTCGTCCATACAAGTATCAATCGAGGTTATGCAAGCACGTCACAAACATACGCATGCGGAAGCTATTAAGTAAATAAGTGACACGCAATATTA